TAGGCCACGAGAGCCCCCCTATCTTTTTTGGACGCGTTTTATTATTAATATGTTCATATTTTGAAGGCAGGGGAAGGCAATATTTGATCCCACAAAAAAATATGTACACCAATAGCGTTACACGTAAGGCTTTTGTCTTTATTATTTTCTTCATTTTATAAGGAACTTAAACGATGATTTCTGTTTTAGTCTTCGTTGTTGTTGTTGTGGTTTCGGGGAGGGGTGGGGGTTGTTAAGTTTTGTTTCATTGCTTTGTTCTGTTTTTAACCAGATATACCACGCCACGTGTATGTGGTATATGTTTACGCATTTTTCAGCTTGGAGGCTAGTTTCATTGTCTAATTTGATCAGCTTTTCGTGAGTAAAGGAAACTTTACTTGACGTTGGTTGGGGTGTTCTAAAAGCGTGGCATTAAGCCAGAGGGTAGAAAGGAAAACAGGAGAAAGGGCATGCTTTTTGGTATCGCTGTTTCGTATGTTGCCACGTACAAAGAGAAAATTGATTTTTATTAAAATGTGTTGGTTTTTAGGGGGCTGGAGGCAGAGGGGGGAAAGGGGGACGAAATTTGCCGGTCTTTAGTTGACCTGGATGCAACTCATGACCTCATTAACCGGCATACTAAGTAGGGAAATTCGCGTCAGATTTTGTTAGTTGTACGGGTGATAACCAGTGCCTACAATGATAGTGACTTCACGAAACACATCAAGTGTTGTGCACATGCTCGTCGTGTGTACCTATATCATAACGTATGCGAACTACACGCAGACTGCCGAGGCAATAGGCCATGTCCCACCGGCAGTAGCGCGAAAGACGTACATTCGCTAAATTGTATTATGTGAAGCAGCGAGGTGAGATCTAGCGCTCGTCAAAATAATGAAATGGAAGAAATTGGCATTTTCCCGCCGGTTTGGCATTTTTTATTTTTTTTTTTTTTTTTTTTTTTTTTTGCTTAACACCTTTTATGTCCATCTAGAAACTCATTTCTGTGTGAGTTTTACTGAAAAAGGTTGATTAAAGTCACAAAAATATTAATTGTCAGTTACCTCGGGCTCTCAGGCTATGTAACCAAGCGACCCCATCCTCCTTCAATCGCAAATATTCCAACTTGTTTTCAAGATAAGTGAGTATTTCGTCCATCGAAAGCAATGCAAATATACCAAGTTGAATGCAAGAACAGAAGAGAAAAAAGAAACGATAAGGATCAGAGAAGGTGATGGAGGAGATAAATGGATCAACAGAGAAATAGGCAGACAGATATTCAAAGAAAAATAGATAGAGAGTTGTGATATAGATTAACATGTGCAAAGATAAAATAGATCTAAGTGATGGATAGCCAGATAGACAGACAGACGGACGGGTGGAAAACAGACTCAATAGATAGATAGATAGATAGATAGATAGATAGATAGATAGATAGATAGATAGATAAAATGGTTATATGTTTACAACGCCACTCTATATATGGAAAAGAAAACAATAACCCGGAAAAAGATGATACAATCTATATCATCATTCTGAAATACACTCTCAGAGCAAAGCAACCGGCAAGCTGGCAAGCAACTACCATCGACCTATGGGACAGGTCAGCAGCAGCAGCAGATGTCCAGCAGCTGGCATACAGATTTGGCATGTGCTGGTCCAGAGTGCGGTCCTCGCCAGAACAGTCCTCATTGAGGTCAAGAGCTGTGGCCGAGACCTGGACGCACAGCCTTCTTTCTGTATTGTTAGCTGTGTCGGTAAGCGCTAGGTGAGTGTTGGAGGGAGTGTCTGGCCAGTGTTTCACTCCGACCAGAGGACGTTCCGCCTCTGTGTCCATCTCACGGCGTCGTCTCAGAGAGGCTGTTCCAAAGCTTATGTAGCCCAGAATGCTTTGCGTTATAGACTGTGGCCAGATCATCCCTACGAGGAGCATTTCTTTTTCCAAGTGGGTGACTTTCAAGTCCATCGTGAATTGTGGTTGGTTTCTCAGGCCTAGAACGTCCGTAGACACAACTTTTGGAGACAGATGGTTGTGAAAAAAACAGCGAACGTGCTGAAGGAGGTCATCAACCTCTCTGTCCGTCAGCGTAGGAGAGTAGGGATGAACAGATATCTTGACGTACGTGGGGTACTGACATTGTCCATTCCGCAGTTCACCGCCCTCGTCACATTTGGAACATGTCCTGCCACCAGTGATATTGCACTCGGTTACGTCCGCGTCTGCAAAAAGGGTATTAACAATAATGTGTCCATCTATTCCTACACGTTTGTTGTCCACCTGGAGCAGAGTTGAAAAGCCGGGGAGACTAGTAGTACTATTTTTCGTTTTACGAGGTTTACAGTAGTACTTGGGAAAAGTGACAGCGTGGATTTCGAAAGTAAACTCAGCACCGCCGTTAAAAAGATCTTGCCGCTGTGCCGTTGTTACCACATGACTACTGATGCCTGGCACGTCGATCTTGAGTGTCAGAGGCACAGATTGGTTAGTGGCGTAACAGAGATATGTCTCAAAACTGTCGTAAAGAACACCTGTGCTGTTATCCACGACGGGAAATTGAAAAGAGAAACCGTCTGTAGAACTATTTTGTGTGTGCGTACGGTTTGTCATACAGCCAGTGACAGCTAGGAGCTTGGTCTTGTCCATACACGTGGAATTAGCGCTTAAGAGTTCGGGCGACAGTGACTGGTTGCCTTGTAGCCAGGATTGCGGGCACTCAAGTCTGAAATCCGAGCAGCAGGAGCGGTACACAGCACAGAGTTTGTGACATGAGCAAGAGTAGGGTTTCTCAAGGTCAAAAAGTCTCATTGTGCCACAGACGTTTCGACAAGTCCCATCTTTCATTTCCCGACTGCTGTTCTGTTTTGGCTGAGCATTCAAGCCCCTTTTTTGAAGATTTCGCGCCACTGTTTTAGGTATTTCCAAAAGCTTGCGACCAGTAACTGAGCTACGGAAACCGCTGGACTGTGACTTTGCCAAAAAGGGACTATGAAGTGAAAACAAAATGAGAGCCGTTTCAGAAGTGGACAATTCATTCATGTCTTCACTTTCATCGGGTGCATCCTTAGTATGGTTTATAGCATCGGCCCAGGGGCCGTGCGCAGACTGAGGGCCTTGCACGACAACTGGCGGTGCCGTTTTCTCGTGAGCGCTGGTGGGAGTCATCGCCTTCTTTACCTTCACGTACGGTACGGTACTGAGTTCATTCGGTGCGTCCCAGGTCAGATGACTAGATCGGCCTTTTGAAATTGTTTGGAGCAGCCGTCCGCATACCATGTTTGTACTCATGCTCAGTACAAAAACGTAAACGTAGAAAGTGGGAGTCTGAGCCCAGGGAGCAAAAGGCTCAAAGAAACAGGAGACGACCACGTTTAACATGTCGACGGCCACGCTGTGACGAAGACACTGCCAGGGAGAGATACACGCTGGTTATTCCAGAAAAAGGCTGATGACTGATTAACTCGCTATATGTTCGGAAAAAACAATCCATTATTATTATTATTTAATTGTTATAATTATTATAATAAGTATTATTATTATTTTATTATAATAATGATAATAACAATAATATTAATAATAATAATTATTAGTAGTAGTAGTAGTAGTAGTAGTAGTAGTAGTAGTAGTAGTAGTAGTAGTAGTAGTAGTAGTAGTAGTAGTAGTAGTATTATAAAGGCCTTGAACATAATATAGCTCTTTCTGGCATAATTGAAAGCAAAAGAGGCAGGGGAAGACCAACAGAAGCCTAAACAGATGGGTGACGGGGAATAATCAGGATCATGCAGATTTTTTTCTGAGCATCCGAGCAAAGAAAGAAATGGAAAGCCATGATCGCCGATGTCTGCCGCAGACTTGGCGCGTGTTATATTATTATCATTATTATTATTATTATTGATATTATTATTATTATTATTATTATCATTATTTATGATTATCATTATTGATATTATTATTATGATCATTATTATTATTATTATTATTATTATTATTATTATTATTATTATTGTTATTGGTGTTACCATTACTATTATTATTATTACTACTACTACTATTATCATTATTATTAGTAGTAGTAGTAGCAGTATTTGTATTATCGTTGTTATCAACATCAAGCCACCTGCACTCATAACATAGTCAGACTGTATAGGTCAGCGCGTGTGGTGTAGAGGTTAAGACTTAGTGTGTCGCTGCCATAAGCGGGATACCCGACTTTGATTCCCGAGAATCTTTATCGAGTATCTCGGTCTTTCGTGGGTGGTTGGCGGGTGCTCTGATGTGGTTTGCTCCTTCTTTCCTATCAAACATATATCGCCCTTATCTCCCCTTCTTCTTTTTTATGCTTGTTACTCTCTTGTAAGACCTTTAATCTTC